AATATAATACAAATACAAAAGTGCTTACCCCTAGTTTCCCGTAGTCGCCGGACAGCAATTTGTCTGATTTTGCTGCCTTGCCAATCTGCTGCATTGTCCACACTTTAATTCTTGGAAAAACATCCCACTGAATAGGATCCCTATCCAACCGATCCAAGTAAAATATCTGCCACATAATAAAAGCAAAACAAGCAATTACTAAACCACAAAAGCACAAGACAAAAAAGAACAAGCAACAATACACTGAAACACATACTACGGCAAATATTGCACACCCGCCGCATCCATTGGAAAACCCATTAGCATAGAAACGTCGAGCAAAATTTTGTATGCTCTCTAGCAATTTCGAGAACACTAAAGAACACCAATCGTACTCAATCGCCTCCATAGCACAGCTTACTGCAGGTAGTAGGTCAGACGCAAGCCGAGGTGACTGCGTGGGACACAACACCATCACTAAAGAAATTATCAAGAACAACGTCTTGAATTCCTCTTCCTCTCCAACATCAAAGTACCCCTCCAACCGATTCATCATATCTGAACTTAAAGGTATGCCTACAGACGTGTAGACCTGACCAAATTGTCTACTAGACTTGGACTCCCACGATTTACCATACTTGATAATAAATCTCTAAACCTTCACACGATCATGTTGGGTCATGGTTTTAGTACTAGGAACAGTCCTAGAACCCATTGGTATCCCTAGTACCCACCGAACCTGATTCTTTGAAAACGAAACTCAAGTCCGTTGGGACTTCTAAGCATTTTACTGAATGGATCCACCCGTGTCATGACCCAGTATGCCAATTGCCTAGGTAAATGCATATCTAAAGCAAGATGTAAAAGACTGCCAAATCCCATCTCACAAACCCAACGTCTTCGCCTGTCATCAAATTGCTGACATATGCGCCCAAATGACTCGATGCGGCAACTCATGTGAGGAGGCTGCCAATGAAATTACAGTAATTAAGTTAATGTTGCTATCCCACACCCACAGACAACTGAATTAACAAGCAAACTTACCCGACTTCTGGCCTTTGAATGTTCAGCCATCACCTCCGCCCTACATTTGACGGCCCCTCCATAACTTAATCCGTCATCCTAAGCACACCAGCAACTCAATTCATGCATAAACCTTAATCGTGCAAACAAAACAATTTCACACACGCAGAATTACGTAATGTAGTACCTTAAACAATTATGGATACAAAGGCATGGTCTGCTGCTCACGTACATTACTCTTCTTAATGAGCCCATACCCCTTTTCATCTTCAACCCCAACCTTCATAACCACAACATACCAAAACATTATACCATAATTCAAAACATAATCACATCCCCATAAAACCACAATTCAAAACATCAACACATCACCAGCCTACAGACTATCTTGTAAATTTAAATAACCCTCACCATTGTACGTTTACGCTTACCATTCCCCGCTGACATTTTCATAATCTGTAACATAAGGATACCCACAGTAACCAATCAAAACGAATCGAATATTCATACGATTTCACACCACAACACAATATCACATAGAACGAACGAACAATGACCACCAATGATTGCACAATTCACCTCATTCCATGAAACTTAATAATGGAATGAGCAGCATAATTACACCCGTGATTTAAAAATTCCAATTAAATTCCGCAAATTCCACACATTCCATTAATTTATTTCGTTTACATTCAATCAACAAACATAATCGCAACAATTCCATTTTTTAACAAGTTTCACTTACATTCCGCTAATTCCACAATTTATCAATTACAGTCAAACTATTACCATTTTTACCTTTGCTTGTACAGATCCGAAGTGGAACTGCAACCCTAGCATCGAATTAATTCTGTCAACAGAAACAATCGACATACAGAACATCAAACCCCAGCCATAAAAAATTCGAAATACCGAAAAATAAAAAGCCAGTTCGAAATTACATTGAATGAGAAAGAACCTGAATACACCAACAATTCGAGTTGGGACCTCCTCGCCTTGAGTTCCGCCTGGAATTCAAGTTGGACCTCTTCGAGCCTCTTCGGGTTCGGTTCCGCCCAGAATTTCAGTTCAGCTTCAACGAAGTCCAATTGAAATTTTCTTCGACTAGGGCTTCGGAGTTTTCATGAAACTCCATAAACGTCCAATGTTAACGGCGTCAATTGTGAGAAACCCAACATGAGTACAATTGGCAAACCGAGTAAAACACGTCAGCAAAATGAGGCCACATCACCCATCCACCAAGTGACTTATAGTAGGTGAAAAGTCGGCTATACCCCTGTGAGTAACATAACCTGTTACTCACTGTGAGTAATGGGGGCGCGCTCCTATTAATCATCATTGAGGTATCATCCGAATTGTCTATCTCTACACCCTTTCTTTTGTTTCCTGTATACTTCTCACCACTTCCCAGGGCTCGATCTTTTTTCCTATGGTGCCTTTTCCAGCTTTTCTTAGCACCTTGCCCATCAATTCTACGATTACTTGTCACACAAACATTTTGCTCCTTACTTCCTTCTACCTCCACACCACTGCCAAACAAGAAAATCTCATTGCTAGTCTTGCCTTCCCCTTGTTTCTGACCAGGAAAAGGAAACACCACTTCCCCATTAGTCACAGTAGGAATGGCCTCTTGTTGGAAAGCTTTCGGCTCCGTAGCAATTTTTGTAGCATCAATCTCCACTCTTCCCAGTTTGCTTGCCATCTCCGTCACTTCCACACTAGATGCAACTCCCTCTAAAATTTGTTTTGGCTTAGTTATGAAAAGGGTTTATGCACAGGTTTCCTTCTCGCTACTCCCTCCCTTACTCTTACTATCAAAATTATTTTTCCACGGTGAAGCCTTTCGCCACCCCAATATGAAGTTACTTCCCCTCCATCATTCTTATTCTCATCACAATGTTTCAATCCATGCCCCATTCTCCCACAGCAAAAGCAAAATAATGGTGGTCGTTCATACTTCACCTCAAAACTCTCCTCCATGCCACCTCTCATCTTTAATTTTACTTCCTTAACAAGGGGTTTGCGAACGTCGACGAGAACACGGATACGAATTGACTTATCAATTCCCATTCTTGCAGTAGAGTCCATCTTAACGAAAACACCAATTTTATTGCCAATTTTCTCAACATTGCTCATATTGAATCTGCCCTTAAGAGGCAAATTATAAACCCTAATCCACATCGGCAAATGAACGAGTTGGATTTCCGAGGGTTTGATTGAAACTGTAGTTTCCCCAAGAAGAAAGGCATGCTTATCAAAGTGCCACGGTTGTTCATGGATGACCCGTTGTTTATCTTTCCAATGGTGAAATTGGAACATAAACATGTTCTTCCCAATGTTGCTTATTCCAACTCCATGCTTCGGTTGCCAAACCCCTTTTATGGTCGCAATAAAAGCATTATTATTAACATTGCGATTAATCCAGATTTTCCCAACCAATGCTAATTCAATTCGGGCGTTATCATCATCCTCTCCATCTATATCCCACTCAATTGCTTCCTCCAATTCTTCTTTGTTTTCCCCCACTAGGGGTTTTCCACCTCGATCATCATTCTATTCAACTATTATTGTGCTATTTTCTTCCGCTATTGTTAGGAACACATTGAAGAAGGAAAAAATTACTCAAAAAATTAACAAATTTCAGTCCACAACTCGATAGAAAATCGAGATTGAGCCCTGAAAAACGAAGGAAACCCTAGCAAGGAAACTAGAACGAAACCCTCCCAAGGAAAACCTAGTAGGAACATGACAAAAAATCACTAATCTCAAGTTTTTCTGTTTATATTGTAAAGCTAATCGGCTATATAATTAAAAAAAAAAAATTATGGAATATTTAATAAATCCGTAGTAAATTATTAAAAGATAAATAAATAAAAAATGTTAATATGATCTATTCGAAGGTTTATCTTAATTTTGGCAAAATTGACCTTAACAGCACCAATTATGCCATGGGTGTAGACGTGCAGTGAGTAGTACCACCTAGGACTAATTGAGTAATAACCAAAATAACACTAACTTTTGCATTGTGTGGATCTTTATAATTGGTTGGACAACACCAAGTATGCTTTATTTATTTGTAAGGTCGTTAATGTTGTTGACTCATTTACTCATTCATGTTATGCTAATTGAGTAATGCAATGATGGTGTTGTTTTATCTACTGTTTATATGTGGTATTGCTCGCTCTGCCAATTTGATGGTGTTAACAGCCAATGTTACATTTAATTTTAATTTTATTATTTTTTCCATAGAAAACCTTAAATAGTTTAGTAAAAAGAATTGTGTAAATAAAATAAATAAATAAATAAATAAAAGAAGAGAAGTTTAGTAAAAAGAAAATTGGGTGGATAGGAAAAAGCGATTGATTTTGTTGTTGAGTTATTATTGTAACATTGTTTTTTTAAAGATTTTTTTAATTAAATTATTGAAACATTTTATATTTTCTTAGTGAGAAACCTTCAACATAGTTTGGTAATTCTCTTAACATAACATGTCTTTACAAAAAAAAAAAAAAAAAAAAAAAAAAAAAAAAAAAAAAAAAAAAAAAAAAAAATTGATAATATGATTATAAAGAATCTAGCTTACATGGCATAAAACAAAAAAAAAAAAGAAAATTGATAATGTGATTATAAAGAATCTAGCTTACATGGCATAAAATTGCTCAATGACTCCCACGTTTGTCTTGATCACGACTGGTCTTCTGAAGAAAAGTTCTCGTGCGGCAGTTCTCACATATTTAAAAAACTAAATTATAACCAACCATGACAGTTTAATTTGTGTTACAAAAAATGACAGTTTATTTATTTTATTAATTAATTTACTCCGAATTTTTAACAGCTACAAAGCCTACTAATTTTTTTTTTTTTTTTTTTTAATTTAGAAGATAAAGTCAAGTTGACAACTTGCATGAAAACAGTTAAAAGGATTGAGCAGAGCATAATTTTAGTTGAATTTGACATAAGATACATCAAACCAATGACAAAGAATAACAATAACAAAGTACTCAGCAAAGAATGATAGGTTCACTTGCAAAAGCACATGCTTATATTCTACACTTTTAAAGACACTTGACATGAGAGTGTATAGATACAAGTTACATTCGCGGCGGCATGTACATTATCCTTCATCTAACCAACAAAATGTAGCAGAAAAAATACAGATTTGGGAACGAAAATGAAGAAAGAGGGAGCTACATAGGAGAATGAAATCTTATACATCCTTTTCTTTTTCTCTCTTCTTCTTTTTGTGGATAAATAAAATATTAAACTTACACTTAAACAACATATATGGACACCCATTTCATTGATATAAGGCACCAAAGACGGCAACTTACTCGCATGCAAGTTTTGTACCAAAACTTGTCAGGCAAATTGCAAATGCTTGGAAGGCTGAAAGTGGCTGGCGATAATCCATGGTGAAAGTGTCATCTCCTACTTTTCCAAACTGGAGGAGAACTACCTCTTCATCACCTTTTCCACCTGGTTGGCTTTGATCCACTGTCGCTACAAGTTGAAAGTTCTTAACCGAAGCTACTGTTACCCGGCCATGAAAATTCAAGCACCAGCATTGCAAGTGCTCATGCCACCTTGGAGCTTTGTTCCTCAGAACAGTGTAACTAGAATCCAGCTCTGTTAACTTAGTTTTGGCATCCTCTGTCTGATCCAAGGTGGTCCCCGTCGGCCCAGGGCATTTAAGGGAGCAAATCATCCTTCTGGGACCTCTTGATTTCAAGAGGTTAAACTTGTATGAAATTTGCCCGACTTCAAAATTCCCAGCAGAAACTTGGGGGCTTATCTGTTTGCTAGCAAACCGACGAGTTGATCTACTACTGGATGGTTTTGCTCCATCATGGGGTGGCTGACTATCATATATTGTGAAGTTTGTACCAAGAAAATCCGAACTGCAAATTGAAATTAATATGAGAATGCAATCCCCGGAAAACATTAGCCAATCAGCATTGAAGGTTGCACCTTCATCAAACACTTAAGTTACTGAACTTTGATAGGCAAAATGTTCTAGTAATTAATCAAGTGCAAGTGTTACACTCTATAGATATCGAATTATAGATATATGATGACATCTTCATATAAAACCATTGCACTAAAAGATACAGACTGAGAGACATAGGTACATAGAATTCCTCAAGGTTGGCTGAACTAGTTTAGAATCTTTAGTCTCTCCATGAAAAAAATCCTAACTAATCATTCCTTGAAAGCTCAAAGAGCACGTGACAATATTATGTGGTTATCTGACAATCTGAAAATGACAAAATTAATGATGCAATAATAGTATAATAAAGTGAAATAATTTGCATTTCTGTGGACCTAAAAAGTCCTACAAAACTACACGTCCCCCGCCCTTATCCACCAAGCTACTTCTAGATATATCTCTCTCTATCTAGTTTGGAATTCATCACTTGGCATAAGCAGTTGGGTAGTGGTAAATTGTCCAAACAAACACAAAAAATTCTGACTTCACATCAAACTTCACAATATAGACACCATACCTTAACTTCCCAACATACGCTTGACTTCCTTGTGATAGGTCATCGACATCAAGTGATATGATATACTCGGTGTGGGCACCACGTCTATATCTTCTTGCGGCTAAGAGGAATTTCCCCTTTTCTGAAAAAGCTGCAATCAAGATATACAATCAGCAACAGCCAAAAACTGATACCGCAGTATTGGACAAGGACATACTCAAAATCAGCCACATAAACAAGTCGGTCAATCACAACTAGAATAGAGGAGTTCGAGGGAAAAAAAAAATAAAAAAATTAGTGAAATCCCAGCTTAAAGATATTATCTTCTGAACCATGATCAGTTAACAGCCCAAAGTACATGAGCCAACTCGTATTAGGAAAGGGGAAAGCAGTGTTTCACATTCTGTTTTCTGTAAGCATAAGTTGCTAAGATCTTCAGAAACAATCACCAGCACATTTTTAATCATTTCCAGTGACTTCAAAATCAGTTGGATACATTTTTAGTAATGACATGTAGGAACAAATACAAATACTAGTTTCAACACTTGATTAATAATCTTTGACAATAGCATGGGACTACCTGCAGGCTTTTGAACATAAATTAATTAAAAACACCTATTCCAATAAGTCGTTTCCACTCTCCAATGAATAACTAAATGGAAAAATTGGCTACAAATAATTAACTGCATACTAAACATATAATTTCAAGAAACTGAAGAAAAAAAAAAATCCCATATCTACTAGATCAAGGTGTCGTATTTCCTTACATGATGGTGATACAGAGAGATAGAGATAGAACGTAGAGTTTTTCTTGTCCCGCTTTATAAGACATTGAAGTGGGTTTTCACGTGGCCCTGGCTGCACCAGTCATAAACCATTCACAGAATCAGTAAGAAACATCTGACTTGTAACCAAGTATGGATACATATATATGAGCAACAAACAATATAATGGAGCACAACTCATAAATAATCTACAGAAAGTAGAGCATAAACTCAGCATAACCATGTCTAGAAAAGACCCTAACCATATAAAGTCATAAACCCGAGAACAAGAGGATTGAGAAAGTGTCAAATCAAGTTTTCATAAACTTGTAGGCTTAATAAATAAATCGGTTGCCTCAGTTAAGTATCTAAGAGGCAACATTAAACTTTCTGATGGTAATGTATGGTACATAATTGTCAAAAGTTAACAACTCTAAAAAGACACTGCCACTATTTCCGGTTCTCACAGCTCCAAAAAGGGTCGAATTTCAACAAGTTGGTGATTTGAAAGATATAACTGGCTCATAATTTATAAGGTAATAGACACGACTTCTGTTGAATGTTTTGGATAGATTGGTCTTTCAAATCTCAATATCAATTATTAGAAGTTAGACATTGTCAAACGTCTAAAACCACCAAAAACCTCTAAAGTCCAACATCTAGAAGCTTGCTAACTGCAAAAGTAACAACATTGTGTTTAATAATAGTAGACGAGGAATTAATTAAATGACAAAAGTGACAAAATTTTAACTTCTCCAAATCATAGTCTCAACCTATAGAAGTTACATTAAAGCCATCTTCACAGTTGACAGAGTTTATGACTACGTGAAACTCTAGAAACTACTTGTAAATTGTATCCAAACAAAACCTAATAATTTAGCTCAATATTCTTTAGCTCATAATTTTCAAAATATACTTAAATTTTATATAAATTGTGAATATATTTGTGTTAAATTAATATTAAAGTATACAGGTGTTCTTTCAGTTGCACGCAAAAAATGGGGAAACTGAAAATTCATGTGAATTTGGAAATAGAGGGCTTGTTGGGTAGACCACAAAAAGTGAGAATGTGGGAAGTGCAAATTCATGGGAATTTCCAATTCCCACAAAACATGGGAATTATATTACCAAGTTCCATAACTCGAAATTCCCATGGTTTGTAAATACGTATATAACAACCAATCTACTTAAATTAATTCCTAGGAAATTTGATGTGGGATTTTAATACCTATGAAATACATATGCCTACAGAAAATTAATTCTTATGACAACCAAACAATACCTATGTACTTCCATAGCCAGCAATATTGTAATTTTTACTATGACACAATAAAGGGTTTGAGTGTTGGACAATAAGAATATCATATTGAAACAAAAAGAATACCCTTTTTTTAAGGTCTCTACACCTATGCTTCTCCAACGATGTGATTTTATCATGACATAGGGAAGATTTCAACTATTGAAAAATGTTAGCTCTATTATCCAAAATTGTAAAATGGCAAGTCCACATATTGCGAACCAGACAAGATTGCATAAACATTTACACAATTACTCACTATTAAAAATCCCAAAAATCTAAATCTACTACCATAAGCCATCCAGCAGCTTAATCTCCAAGATTTAAAAAAAACTCACTAATAATTTGGGAAAGAAGCAGAAGACCACATTAGAGACATTTGAAATTGAGTCATCATCAACGCTAAAGCTCCAACTACATAATTTCATACGTTACATGTGGCAGCAACATCCCTCTTTATAAAAAAAATGGCTACAGAAATCTGAAAACAATTACATTTATTTTGTAAGCATCCCATCATTTGCTAAGCAACTACCCATAGTCTATATCTATACCACAATGGCCCACAAATGAAAATAACAAACTACAACCAAACTTAAACTCAAAACTTGAATGCAAAAGCAACCACTCTAAAATCACCCTCTTGGTCTCTCCCTGGTAATCGAATTCACCATCGACATTAAAACATAACAACAAAATAAATTTCCCAACAAGCCAACAGCCCTATTAAGCTGAGATTAATAATAATAGTATAAACTTAGGATATCAAGCTACAACTGCTCTTTCGTTAGTTTAAAGTCGCAATCAAATAAGCTCAAAATGATCACCTCTTTATAGTCCAATCTAGTCAAAAAATTTGGTATCAACAGTCACTGTAAACCGCAGAGTTCCTTTAAAAATTCGGTGAAAAACCACTCCATTAGCCGAAACCAAACCTAAATAAACACCAAGCCTATCAAACCACAACCATTCGTTTAATGTAACAAGTCAAGTTTTGAGTTTTCGGCTTACTTCAGTCAAAAATTCACACCCATTAGCTTAAAATGATCACCCATCTTACTAACCCCCTTAATTTTGTAAACTAATCTCTAAAACAGGAAATTACTTACAAAAATCAAACTCCACTTTCCCAAAAAAACCTCAAAAAGGTAACAACAAAACAATACATTTCTCCAATTAAATCGTCAACAAATTAACAATATACTAAATTAATCAAAACAATAACAACAAAAACTCAATCCCACAAAACAAAATTAACAGAACCCCACATTTCGCCTAAAATCAAACAATTTAATTCAACAACCCAAATTCAAAAATCAAACAAAAATTAAATTAAATTAAATAAAATTAACCTGTTTAAGGCAAGAAGGAAAGGTGATCTTAGCAGTAGAAAGAGGAGACTTAACAATCTCCCGAGTAACATCCCTCCATCTCTTACAAACACAAGCACAAACGACGACGTTTCGACGAAGCGGCCATTTATCTTCGGTAGATTCAACGCGAGCTATGATATCCGCCAACAACTCCGGAAACAAAGTCGACCATCGTCCACCGTCGGCGTCATCGTCGGAGTTGTGGTGGTTGCCGGCGGCGAGAGAGAAGGAGGTGGTTGACGGTGACTCACGGTGAGATTTGGAGGAGAGAGAAAAACAACGGATTGAAGAAGAACGACGTGAAAGGAATGATCTAGTGAGAGACATCAGCAATGGAGGAAGAGGATGATCATGGAGGAGAGAGAAAATGGGAAATTTGTAGAGAGAGAAAATGGGGAAATGTAGAGAGAGAAAGAAAGAGAGAGAGTCAGAGAGTAAGAATTTTGGGGCTGAGACTTGGGAAGAGAGGGATGATGGGAAGGTGAGGTGATAGAGTTACCTGCGTGTTTGGGTAACCGTCAATTTTTGGTGTTAGATGAGAAACTTTGGAGAGAAGAAAGATTTTTTTGGTGGGAGAATGAATTTCTTTTTTTTAAATCTAGTGGAAATTCAGATTTGGAATTTTTTTTTTTTTTCCTCAAGAAAAAAAATAGTGTGGCATTTTTAAATGGTGGTTTGGTGAATTTGTTCTTGGAATATGAGGGAGAGAGATGTGCATGAATTTGTGTCTTCAAAAAAAAATTTGTTCTCTTCAACTTGTTTCAGATATTTATTACTTAATAAATTTAGATTAGATCAGATCATTAGACCAGAAACATTCAAATCAGATCAGATCAAAAATTTTAGTTATCATTTATTTTTTGCTAAATATCTTTAATTACGTATTGAAAACAATTACGAAAATTACATATTTGAAAGTTCATAATGAGATGAATCTAACAAGATCCATTTTAATAATGTTTTTCTTTATATATTAGTAAAAAATGCGGTCAAAGTTTAGTCATTAAATCAAATCATAGTGGATAAAAAAATTAAGATCAGACCTTATTAAAATCAGACCAGATCTCCTTATTTCAGGTGAAGAGAACAAGTTCAAAGTGTATAGATTTGAAAATTTCTTAAGGTACTCACTAAATAGTTTTAATGTACTTTGTCTTAGGTTTTTGAATTAAATATGGGTAAGGGTGGTTCTTATTTGAATTTATCAGTCATTATACACCCCTTATAAAAAAGTCCACACTATTTAAGCCTAACTTCTTCATTTCTCAAACATTAACGTTGGATGAACATCAAATTTGGCGAATTTCTCCTCAAATTCTCAAATTTGCTTAATCCTAATAATCCTAGCATCAAAATCTCCAGATTTGTGCTCATTTAAAAAAGTCAGCTGGAAAAGAAATTGGAAAAAGGTATGCATTTCACTTAATTCGCAACACTCATGAATTCTTATGTGTATTTGTTGCAATTATCTTCCAAATGTTATGTTTGATTGAAATTATGAATACCACATATGAATTGACCCCCAAAATCAGAGTTTAAAAATTAGGGTTCATCTTAGTAACAATAAATTTGGGGTTTTTGAAATTTTAATTGGTTACTAAAATTAGGGTTAAGGAATGATAATTGTGTTTAATTGGAACAAATATTGATGTTGTTGATTGTGAATTGCAGAATCAAATGTCTTCCATAAGTCTATCTCTTTCAAAAGAGAAAAGATGTAAATGTGGAGTTCCAATGGCAAGGCTTACTTCTTGGACTAGGGAGAATCCTGGACTTAAGTTCAGGTCATGCAAATTCTATGACCCTGTGATAGAGACAAGAGGGTGTAAAGCTTTTGAGTGGGTGGATCAACCAGATAGAACACCTTGGCAAACAGAGGTCATTAACAACTTGTTGGTGGACAAGAAATTAATGAAGGGTGAGATTAATGACTTGAAGAGGAAAGTTGATGATGTAAGTGGGCAGAAGAGGTGCTTGCTCAATGATATTGACAACTTGAAGCTCAAATGCAAGGCACTTAGTTCTGACAGGAAGAAGATGAACAGGGAGGTGCATGGAAGGAATGCAACATCAATGAATTTGCTTGTGTTACTTGTTATTGTTGTTGTCTTTTGTTGTGTTGGTTTGATGTTGGCTATTTATTTTAGTACTTAGGGATAGCTTAGTAAGCTTAAATCCTCAACTGATGTTGTCTTTTGTTAAGCTATTATGGTAGTTTGTAGGGAAGGCATAGGCAATGGTCTAATGTTAGTAAAATGTGTATGAACTTGTGGTAGAAAATTTTATCAATAAAATCAAAGTTATTTGATGGCCATAGCTTGCTCAAAATATGATTAAAGTACCTAAATTTGTGCATATTAGTAGTAGAAATGCCAGACATACATACAAACTTATGAAATAGTTTTCACAAAAGTTAAACTACATACTTGCATCAAGTACTTTGTTCAAATATCAAGTACACAAAAGATTAGTCAAAATGCCAAGTTGTTCATCAACTACAAACTGTTCTAACACTTAATTACAAGCATTCACATCAACTGGTCTTCTTGTTCCTGATAACTAGTAGCTTAGACCTTGTGTGAACTCTATTTGGGGATGGGTGAGATATGGTCACTGGTGGGGGTTGACTGAGGCTCTTCTTGCTTCTGGTGGAGGGTTGACTCCCACTTGCTCTTGCTGTTGAAGGATGAAACATTGGCAATATCAATGCAGCCTGCATCATATATAATACTAAATTAGACACCTGAAATGACACGTGTCATTTCCTGGTGCTGTTTTTTCCCTCCAAAATCACCTTCTTTTTTTTTTCTTTTTTCCTTTTTTTAGTCAATGTCACTTACTATAATATAACACAAAATATTCACCAAAACATATAATTGTGGTAACTTTGATTTACATATTTTCCACATCTATAATAAAATATTTTCCGTATATATTACTTTATATCTTATAACTACTACTCCGTATATCAAATCTTTAAATAGCATAATACATCAAATTTATTTTGAAGTCTATAAAATATTACTAAAATTGATTATGCTTATATCACTTTGGACATGTGTCAAGTTATCATTAAAAAAATTCCTGCTAAAACAATATATGACGTCAAGTTTGTGGTTTTTTTAATTTAATTTAATTTTTATTTATTATTATTATTATTCTACCTAGCTTAATTTGTATTGGGAAAACATGTGTCATTAATGTTATATGTTATATAATGCATACTACTTTTAGATATCTTCAACACAACTAATCAACTACTCCATTTATTTTCTCAATTTTAGTTTTAATAATTTTTCTTTTATTATTTCATTTTTCTTATACACATTGCAATTGTTTATTCTACGTACACGAGTTCATTGTCTCATTTTCATATTATATCACAAATTAATTACGGGAAAAAAAATTTCACTACCGTGCATTGCACGAGCACTAATCTAGTATACAACTGAAATATGGTCAGTTTGTGTTAAAGTGAACCCAAAAAGAAGAAATTCATAGTTGAATAGGACATTACCTGCCTTTCCAGCCCTTTAATTTCTTCACTTTTCTTCCTCAGTTCTTTAAGCGAAGGAGTTTGCAATTGTGACCTTCTTCCCTTTAGATTTGTTGTAGGTTGCTTAGGCTGTTCTGGTGCAGTTTCAAGCTAAGGGTACAAGTTTTGGCAAAATGTCCAAATCCACCACAATCCTTGCATTGTTTCTTTATCTTTTGTTTTTTTCCCTCAGAAGTGGCAGCAGAAGTCCCCTCCCCCTGTTCAAGCTTTCTCTTCTTTGACTTGGGCCTTCCTGGTTGCACTTTAAACACTGGTGGCAAAGGCTCTCTGAGTTTGACCTTTTCCCAATGCTTAGGTCCAGGCATTGCTGAATGGGAGACTCGTATGCAACCAGGTATGTCACCCTATAGTAATGTAGGTGAACATACATCTCAGGGTCATCTCTTTTGTCAAGAATACACGCAAAAGCATGAACACAAGGTATCATTGTCAACTCCCACCTAAAACATGTGCAACTCCTATTTTCAAGATTGATAATGCACTGATCATCATTGTATTTCACCTCATAGTTATCACCCCTAGATGCCTGCACTGTACATGACCTAGCATACTTCTTTAACCCATCAAACACCTTTCTCACATATGGGGTTAGCAAACCTTCCCATTTACTAGCTGCCTCCCACTTATCATTACTCCTCTTCATCATGTATCTTCTTAACCACTCCATTTGAGTAAGAATAGGCTTATCTCTAGCTTCCCTAATCACTACATTAAATGTCTCACACATGTTGTTTAACAACATGTTAAACTTGCAGTTTGTAGAGAATGCATGCCTAGACCAGCAGTACGGGGAATGTTTGATAGGTAGTCAAATGCTTCTTCATTTAGAAGTGAATTGATTCCATACCAACCTTAAATTCAAACTGACAAACACATATAAAAGTATGTTTTCAATAAAAATAAACTATTCATTCATATAATATGCAACAAACAAACTGTTTGAGAAGGCTTACCAGAGTGCTTGCCCTAGTAGCAGCCCAGAACAGTTCCTTGAAAGTGGAACCATGAAATTTCAGCTTGAAATTTGCCCAGACATGTCTTACACAAAAGCTAAGCTCAGCTTTAGGTACAATAGACTCAAAAGCTTGTAACAATCCTTGAAAATAAAGGAACAAGCTTAGTTAAATACCAGAGTTATCAAAGTTTATAAAATCATAGAAATACAACAAGTAAATTAACTTACTTTTTGCTTGCCACACATGAAAGTCAACCCTAATCCTTGCTCAAAACCTCCAAGTTTTTGCAGCAAAGCCTCAAGAAACCATTCCCATGTCTCCTTGTTCTCAATTTCTGGAGTTTCCCAAGCCAATGCAATATATGTTGTTATTTCCATCTTTAGATACTATAACTAGGATCTGACCAGGATAAGCTCCTTTCACATGGCATCCATCCACCCCAATGATGGGTCTACAACCAGCAACAAACCCATCCCTAAGTGGAGCAAGGCATACAAACATTCTCATAAAAATAGGCCTATGTATTTGATCAATCCCATCCACAACAACATTACAACCACTGCCAGGGTTGTACTTCAGAATAACTTTCCCATAGTCCCACTGTAACACCTTAGAAATTCCTTCCTTTTAAAATACCTATTTTGCCCTTTTTAAAATACGAAATAGGAAATTCTAAGATATTATCGCCACCGTGATAATGGCTAAGGCAATTATCAAAGATACATAGCGGAAGACTCATTTCAAAAATCCTTTTTAAAACATGAAACCAACCTCAAGTCAAACCAAACGAAAGTAAATTCAACCAAAGTCAAACAAAGTCAACCTACAACTTGGAAGGCCCTTTTCAAAACTCAACCAAACAAATAAAATCATTGTGTTAGTCTTACAAGCAATAAATAATATTTAAAGCAAATAAACACATCATATCCTCATGGAAACTAAACAAAATTTGCTCTTCACTCATGCCCCAACATGAATATGCCGC